CTTTTTATAGTTTTGGCATCAGAGTGATACAAGCTTCATAGAATGAGTTTGGAAGGGTTCCCTCCTTTTCTGTTTCATGGAATAATTTGAAGAGGATTGTTGTGTGTTCTTCTTTAAAGGTTTGGTAGAACTGGGCTGAGAATCCGTCAATTCTGGGATTTTCTTTGTTGGTAGGCTTTTAATGGCATCTCTATTTCATGGCTTGAAATTAATCTGTTTAAGTTTTCTAAGTCCTTCTGATTCAATTTGGGTAGGTCATATGTCTTTAGAAATTTGTTGATGTCTTCAAGATTTTCTATTTTATTAGAGTATAAACTTTCAAAATGGTTTCTAATTATCATCTCTATCTTAGTAGTGTCCTTCATGATATTTTCTTTTGCAGAAGGAATTTTAGTAATTTGAGTTTTCTCTTTCTCTTTGTATTTTTTTATTTCATTCCTGATTTATTTTGCTATACATTTGTCATCCAATAGTGTATTCTTTAGTATCTAGGTGTTAGAATAGCTTCTATTTTTACCTTATCATTGATCAGAGATATTGGTCTGAAGTTTCCTTTCCTTGATGTATCTTTTTTTAATTTTGGTATTAAAGTGATACAAGCTTCATAGATGATACAATGCAAGGTATTATCTCTATTTTTTTCATATTGCTAAGAGTTGCTTTGTGGCCTAAGATATGGTCTGTTTTAGAGAAGGATTCATGTGCTACTGAGAAGAAAGTGTATTCAGTCATTGATGGATGAAATATTCTATATATGTCAGTTAACTACAAATTATTAATCGTATTTTTTTAGTTATATAGTTTCTTTCTTTAGTTGTTGTTTGGAGGATCTATCCAGTGATGAGAAAGATATGTTAAAGTCACACAGTATTATCGTGTTGTGGTCTATTTAATTTCTGAAATTACAAGGGCTTTTTTGATGTATATAGATGCTCCATTGTTTGGGGCATGATGTATATGATTGTTATGTCTCATCGATGTATGATTCCCTGAAGAAGTATAAAACATCCTTCTTTGTCCTTTAAGATTAACTTTGGCCTGAAGTCTACTTTATGTGATATGAGGATAGAAACACCTGTTTATTCATGAGATCCATGTGAATGATATGTTTTTTCCCCCATCCTTTCACCTTCAGTCTGTTGATGTCTTTGCCTATCTACAGGGAATAGAAAACTATAAAAGTAAAATAGAAGATTTGTTAAACAATCAAATAAAATGTCTACAATAATTGATATAAAGAGGTCAATGAGTTGGTTTGATATCAGAGTAGAAAGAATTAGTGACCTGGAGGTTTGTCGAAAGAAATCTCTATGCGAAATGTGGCATAGAGAGTTTAAAAAAGAATATGGAAAGAAGATGGTAAAACATATAGCAGATAAGTCAGATAGTCTAATATACATTGAAATGGAATCCCATGTAATGAAATGAAAAAATCCATCCCACGAGAATATGTAAAAAAAACCCTAACATATTTATTGTTTGGAATACTAGAGGAAAGGAGAAAAAAATTTGAGACCTTGAAAATATATGACTAAGATCAGAAGATTCCAATCCAGATTCTCACAGTCAAATAATTCCAGGAAGAATATTTTTTGTCAAAAAAATTTACTTTTAGACACAGCATAATAAAAATAAAACTGAAAAACTCAAAAACAATTCATACCCCCGCCCAAACTATCCCGAAATAACCCAATCAAAAAATGGGCAAAGAACTTTGGGCTTTGAAATCATATCATGTGTGGTCTTAAGGTTGAAGTGCAGTCTAGGGCCTGTGCATATTAGTGGACAACACTTAATAGCTGTGGAGAAAGACAGAATATGAAGAGGAGGAGGATATAAAACTCTTAAGTGTATCTGGAAAGAGATTTGCCCCTCAAGGTGGTAGCAAGGTTCCACAGAAAAAAAGCAAAGCTTGCTGCTGAAGAAGAAGAAGAAGAAGAAGAAGAAGATTTTGATGATGAGGAAACTGAAGAAAAAGCTCCATTGAAGAAATCTATGAGATACTCCAGTCAAAAATGCACAGATATAAAAGCAGAATGGAAAAGACTCAAATCATCAACACCAAGATCCAAAGGCCAAGAATCCTTCAAAAAAAAAAAAAAAAAAACCTCCTAAAACACCAAAAGGCACTAGTTCTGTAGAAGACATTAAAGCAAAAATGCAAGCAAGTATAAAGGTGGTTCTCTTTCCAAAGTGGAAACCAAGTTCATCAATGATGTGAAAAATTGCTTCCAGATGACTAACCTGTAGGCTATTCAAGATCTCTGGCAGTGGAGGAAGTCTCATTAAGAAAATAGTTTAAACAGTTTGTAAAAAATTTCTGTCTTATTTAATTTCTGTAAACAGTTGGTATCTGGCTGTCCTTTTTATAATGCAAAGTGAGAACTTTCCCTATTGTGTTTGATAAATGTTGTCCAGGTTCCCTTGCCAAGAATGTGTTGTGCAAAATTCCTGTTTAGTTTTTCAAGATAGAACTCCACCCTTTGCTTGGTTTTTAAGTATGTATGGAATGTTATGATAGGACATAGTAGTAATGGTGGTTGGACACGGAAATGGTGGGGAGACAAAAATATATATGTGAAATAAATTCAGTATTTTAATAAAGTAGTACTGTTTCTATTTTTTTTTAAAAAAAGAAACACAAATAGTCAACCAATATTGGAAAAAGTCTTCTATTAAGGAAATTCAAATCAAAACTACATTGAGATTTTTACCTCACTCCAGTCAGAATGACAATTATCAAGAACACAAATAATAGGGGCTGGGGCTACAGCTTAGTAGCAGAGTGCTTGCCTATCATGTGAGAGGCACTGGGTTTGATCCTTAGCATCACATAAAAATAAATAAATAAAATAACTTAAAAAATAAATAATTGCTATAACAAAAACACCAGTGTGGGGAAAAATAATTTTTTTTTCTTTTTTAAAGACTACAAATAATAATAAATGTTGGTGAGGATTTGGGGAAAAAGGTATACTTATACATTGCTAGTGGAACTGCAAGTTAGTACAACCACTCTGGAAAGCAGTATGGAGATTCCTCAAAAACAAAAACAAAAACAAAAAAACAACTAGGAATGGAATCACTATATGATCCAGCTATCCCAATCTTCAGTATATATCCAAAAGATTTAAAATCAATATACTATAGTGACACATCAATATTTACAATAGTACAATTTGCAATAATCAACCTATTGAACCAAGCTAGGTGCCCTTCAACAGAAGAATGGATAAAGTAAATGTGATACACACACACACACACACACAATGGGGTAGTACTCCATCATAAAGAACGAAATGATGGCATTTGCTGGTAAATGAATGGAACTGAAGACTATCATGCTAAGTGAAATAAGCCAATCCCCAAAAGTCAAAGATTGAATGTCTTCTCTGATATGCAGAAGATAATCCAAAATAAGGAGCAGGAGAAGAGAGAGGAAAAAGAAAAAAATGGAGAGAGAATTTCATCAAAATAGAGGAGGATCAGTAGAATAGATGAAGGGAATTAAGGGGGAGGAGGGAGGTATGGGGTGGCAGGGGATGGTGGAATGAATCTAACCAAACTTTGTAAGTGAATGCATGAATATAGAACAACGAATTCCAACATCAATTATATCCTCAAGATACTAATTTTTAAAAATACTATAAATAAATTGCAGAGAGATCAGTATTATACAGGGAGGGGAACAGAGAGAATGGGGGAGGTGGAAGGGCCAAGGACTGAATTAGAGCAAATGTATTTCACAATATTCTAATTATGTCAAAATGTATCCTAATGTTTTATATGACTAAAAAGAATGAATAAAATTTACATTTAGACACAGCATAATAAAACTGAAGAAAACAAAAGACAAATATTTTAAAGTAGCTGGAAGAAAAAATATTGGATTATTACTTATTTACCTTTTGTAACCTGCTTCTTCTACTCCCACTTTTTAATCTGGCAGCAACCTTTGACCAATGGAGAATGGGGGCTTTTCTGTTACTTTGTGAAGCTAATGCCCAGGTGTATTCTGTTCGTTTGGTGAATAATTTTAAGATACATTCTGCATAACTCCTTGGAGGGACTTGGTGAGACTCTGCTCTGATGTCCTACTGTACTGACAACTTAAAAACTAGATTTCCAGGAGGCTGGAGGCTACAGTGCTTGCCTAGAATGTGCAAGGTCCTGGGTTAAATCTCCTGTACCACACACACACCAAAACAAAACAAAACAAAACAAAACACACACACACACAAATAAGTATATTTAAAAATTTTTTTAGTTGTAGATGAACACAATATTTTTATTTTATTTATTTATTTTTTTGTGGTGCTTAAGGTTGAATCCAGTGCCTCATACATAGTAGGCAAGCGCTCTATCACTGAGCTACAACCCTAGAACAGTAACTATATTTCTTTCCTTCTCTGTTACACTTTTCTTGAACCTAGGCTAAAACGCTTTTGAAGGAGTCACAGGATGAAAGACAATTTCCTAAGACAGTGAAATGATGAAGTGTTGAGAGATTAAAAACTGCCAACAGGCAACAAAAGAAAGAAAATAAAATAGGGAGAACAAAATTTAAAGCAAAAAATAAGAATGTATCAGTAACTATATTAAATGTAACTGGACTTAATGATCTAATTATTAATACTTAATGCTGGTCAAGATAAAACCATAAAAAAACATTTATGGTTCTTATAGGACATATGTTGAAAATATAAGGATACAGAAAGATGAAAGTAAAAGCACAGCCAGGTGTGGTGGTGCATGCCTGTAATCCCAGTGGCTTGGGAGGCTGCAGCACAAGGATCTCAAGTTCAAAGCCAGCCTCAACAACTAAGCGAGGACCTAAGCAACTTAGTGAGACCCTGTCTCAAAATTTAAAAAATAAATTAATAAAAAGGACTGGGTATGTTCTTAACTCAGAAGTTAAGAACTCTGGGTTCAATCTCTATACCAAAAAATAAAAAATAAAAAAGGAAAGCAGGAATAATGACAATAATCTTTCCACCTACCAGTGAGGGTTCACTTGCATTGAGTTGTACTTCCTCAGAGTCTGAATTTTCTGGATCATATACCCATATTACGACATTCTAAAAAAGAAAATGTTTTTGTATTTATTTATATTTTGTACACAATTAGTTTTTAGTTGTGGCAAAATAATCCAAAAATATTTTCATTTATTAAAAAAAATTGAATTATTCCATTTTTTAAAAAATCCAAAGCAGTATTTAATCACTGAAACAAGTCAAAGATTTATGAAGGGTTAAAAATATCCCTTTACATCCTTAAGTAACTAATGTTAAAATTTTATACAAATGTTTATATATCTTTCTTTATACCCATAGACACAGCAATTCCTAATACTAACACACTTTTTTTTAAAAAAAAATAATTCTATACATGTTAATTATAACTTATTTTGTCTGACCATTTCAATAGACATCTAATTGTTTATTTTTTATTAACTAGATAATTTATTTGCATAGTTAAAAATGAATTATATTAAAATATGTAGCAAAAGCAGTTTCTATTACCCTGTACTCCATTACTTGTTTCCCATAATTTTTGTGAATAGTAAATAATTTTTCCTCCATTTGATACAAATGCTAGCTTACTAAATACACATTTTTGAACCTTATATTTTTTTCACTTAATTATATTTTAGAGATTTTTACATGTTATCATTAATTTTTCTTTACACACTCTCATTAATTTTTCAGCTTTACATATTCTTGTTAAATTTTCATTAATTTTTATTCTAAATCATGAAGAAACCATAGATGTTTCACTTTTATTTCCTTTTCCTGTTTTTTATTAGGTTGTTAACTTTAATATTTATTTTTTAGGTTTTTTTTTAAGGTGGACACGATATCTTTATTTTATTTTAATGTGGTGCTGAGGATCGAACCCAGCACCCCGCGCATGCCAGACGAGTGCGTCACCGCTTGAGCCACATCCCAAGCCCTAGATTGTTAATTTTAAAAAATTTATTTGTGGGTGGTGAAATTTGATGAGCCAGAGGGAGGCAGCATTCTGTGTCGCTCTGTGATCCAGATCTCACCTAGTTGGAATACTGCATCTCTGAGAGTGTTAGGGGACCCCTATACAGCTGCTCTCTGCAGAAATCACCAGCGCTGTGACCCCCTGCAGGGCTCTGGGCCTCAGCGTTAGAGCAGGACCCCTGGTTCCCAACACCCAAGTCTGAAATTCTAGCTAACGCAGGGCTCCCGAGCTCCTTAGCAGATCAACACATCTGCAGATCTCCAAGGCTTTGTTCTGCTCCCATGCAGGTCACTCAGCTGCTACCTACCCACAGCACAATGCCATTCCCTGGCTCCCCCTACCTCATCAGATACCCCGACGCTGAAAGCAGACCGCTTCCATCTTGGCTCAACATTCTTGCCATATTAGGTGGGAGCAGCTCCCAGATTGAATCTCCAGCAGCCAGGTACCAGGTTTTCAACCTTCCCCTCTCCCCAGTGGTGGTAACCCAACACAGTAGCTGCCCAACACTGGTGCACATTGTGACCAGAGTGCTGCCCACAGGAGTCCCGGAGTGAGAGGTTACTCAGTTGGGAATTGCTAAGGGAGAGGGAGATGGGGCTAAAGTCTGGAGCCTAACAGAGAGACCAGGAATTGGGAAATCTCCAGGCAAGATAGGTAGATAGTACCGGGTGCTCAAGTCATATAAGCAGTCCCAAAAAGAGACCCGTGAGGTGCAGGAGGTGCAGTCTTCCTGCAGGGACTGGCAGGTGCCACTCCCGCTTCCAGTCACCCTACACCAGGACCAGCCTTCCCACCCTGGTTACCTCCACCAGCCTGATGGCAGAGACACCAGCTTACAACAGACAACCCCACCTATTGGATGAGAAGAGAAGCAGGAAGGAAAGATATGGATCTCTAAAACTAGCAACAACCCTGGTTTCTTCCTTCAGAATTTTTTTTTTCCTCTTCTACCCCTTTATGCTCCGGCCCTCACACCCCCAACATATGTGAAACCAAGAAGTTTGCATGAAATAGAATTTTGCGGACTAAGACATCTGAATAATATAATATAGAGGTGTTGTATATGCCCTTTTCCCCTTTTTCTTCTTTCATTTTCTTTCCCCCTCCAAATTTTACCATTTTAATATCCTGTATTTTTGTAAATACATATGTATGTTTGTTTTATGCACTCTACTGTCTTCCCACGTACCTGCCTACCCTAAATTACTTCCTGTCTATTCTCTTGCTACTAACCCTCTTTATTAAATTTCTCTTTCACACTTCCTAAGATCTATTAACTCTAAATCCTCACATCCTATCTCCTCAGCATATCGTCCTATGCCTCACCCCCAGTTCATTGACAAACATCAGAAACTGTAAACCTTTTTATAAAACTGCTGATTATATTTTAGATAACAATTGAATCCAACATTTTTGTACATTGAGACTAAACTGTAAACGTCTTAATAACAACAAATTGTTATAGGTGGTATATAGTTGATATTGGGATCTGTTAACATTGTCCTTCCCCACAGAGGAGGGGTCTTGGAATCCTACAAGAGCACTGCAAGCCTATAGGGTAAAAACAATAACATCCCAAACCCACAGAGCTGGAAAGGAAGACACCGAAGCAACATGAAAAGACAAGGGAAGAAAGTGCCCCAAACAAATCAAGTCACCACATCATTAGAATCATTGGCAGCCACAACAGAGGAAATGACAGAGAAGGAGTTCAGGATGTACATGGTTAAAATGTCCTGTGAACTCAAGGAAGATATAAGAAAGCAAATACAAGCAGTGAAAGATCACTTTGATAAGGAGCTACATAAACAAATACAGGAAGCAAAAAGATCACCTCAACAGGGAGATAGAAGTTCTAAAAAAAAAAAAAAAAAATCCAAACAGAAATCCTTGAAATGAAAGAAACAATAAACCAAGTCAAAAGCTTAAATGAAAGCATCACCAACAGAGTAAACCACTTGGAAGATAGGACATCAGACAATGATGATAAAATATATAATCTTGAAAAGAACATAGACACACAGTGATAATGGTAAGAAACCATGAGAAGAACATTCAAGAAATATGGGATAGCATAAAAAGCATAAAAATTTAAGAGTCATTGGGATAGAGGAAGGCATAGAGGTCCAAACCAAAGGAATGAACAATCTATTCAATGAAATATCAGAAAATTTTCCAAACATGAAAAATGAATTGGAAATCTAAATTCAAGAAGTTTATAGGATTCAGAATGTACAAAATCACAACAGATCCACACCAAGGCACATTATAATTAAAATGCCCAACATAAAAAATAAGGAAAGAATTTTAAAAGCCATAAGAGAAAGGAATCAGATTACATATAGGGGAAAACCAATTAGGATAATGGCATATTTTTCAGCACAGATTTTTCAGACCCTGAAAGCTAGAGAAGATCCTGGAACAACATATATCAAGCTCTGAAAGAAAATGGGTGGCAACCAAGAATCTTGTATCCAGCAAAATTACGCTTTAGATTTGAAGATGAAATAAAGACCTTCCATAATAAACAAAAGTTAAAAAGAATTTATAGCTAGAAAACATCCTTGGCAAAATATTCCATAAAGAAGAAACGAAAAACAACAATGAAAACCAGCAGAGGGAGGTAGTACCCTAAAGGAAAAACTCATCAAAGAAGAAAATCAAGTCAAGTTAAATAACAAAAATAAAGAAATATGGCTGGACATACAAACCATGTCTCAATGATAACCCTGAATATTCATGGCTTAAACTCACCGATAAAAAGGCATAGGCTAGCAGACTGGATTTTAAAAAAGGACCCAACAATATGCTGCCTACAGGACACTCATCTGATAGGAAAAGACATACACAGAATGAAGGTGAAAGGTTGGGAAAAATCATACCACTCACATGGACTGCGGAAGCAAGCAGAGATTTCCATCCTCATATCAAATAAAGTAGACTTCAAGCCAAAATTAATCAAAAGGGACAAAGATGGACATTACATACTGCTCAAGGGAATCATACACCAACAAGACATAACAATCATAAATATATATGCCTCAAACAATGGTGCAGCTATGTTCATCAAACAAATTCTTCTCAAGTTCAAGAGTCAAATTGACCACAACACAATAATCTTGGGTGACTTTAGCACACCTCTCTCACCACTGGATAGATCTTCCAAACAAAAGTTTAATAAAGAAACTATAGAACTCAATAATACAATCAATAACTTGGACTTAACTGACATATATAGAGTATTTCAACCTTCATCAAGCAGATACACTTTCTTCTCAGCAGCACATGGATCCTTCTCTAAAATAGACCATATAATATGCCACAAAGCAACTCTTAGAAAATACAAAAAAGTAGAGATACTACCATGCATTTTATCAGATCATAATGGAATAAAATAGGAAATCAATGAAAAAATAAAAAATAAAAATTTCTCCATCACCTGGAGACTAAACAATATGATACTGAATGAACAATGGGTAATGAATACACCAAGGAGGAGATTAAAAAATTCTTAGAGGCAAATGAGAACATAGACACAACATATAGAAATCTCTGGGACACTATGAAAGCAGTACTAAGAGGAAAATTCATTGTATGGAGTTATTCCTTAAAAGAAGAAAAAGTCAACAAATAAATGACCTCACACTACATCTCAAAGCCCTAGAAAAAGAAGAACAAATCAGCAGCAAAAGCAGTAGATGGCAAGAAATAATTAAAATTAGAGATGAAATCTAAACAAAAGAAACAATTGAAAAAATTGACAAAATAAAAAGTTGGTTCTTTGAAAAAATAAATAAAATTGACAGACCCTTAGCCATGCTAATGAAGAGAAGGAGAGAGAAAAATCAAATTACCACATACGTGATGAAAAAGGTAATATCACAACAGACAATACAAAAATACAGATAATTAGAAATTATTTTGAAAACCTATACTTCAATAAAATAGAAGATATTGAAAGCATCAACAAATTTCTTCCCAGACTGAATCAGGAAGATATACACAATTTAAACAGACCAATATCAAGTGATGAAATAGAAGACACCATCAGAAGCTTACCAATCAAGAAAAGCCCAGGACCGGA